GCGTCAGGCTTGTATCCTTCCTCCGCCCCGCCCCCAAATCACCTAGTCCCAGTCTTTTCATGTGAAAAAGCGCTGAATATTAAAAAAATATCAATAAAAATAGAAGGCCTAGGTCTAGGCTGCCGAAAGCTAACTTGACGGTAAATAACCCCGCACAAGGACGGAAATACACATCAAATGAAGATATAATGTATAACATACAACAGAACTGTAACTAAAACCACAAGTGTAAGCGATCTTTAAACACACACAAAAGAGAGGCGGCCGTATTTTCCGATCAGCCACCCACGAGTGAACCATGCATGCATGCGTTATACAACGAAAATAACTTCGCCACACCGATCATATACTGCTAACAAAGCGATATAACTACCCAAAGGGCAAAAATCTTAACTAGACCCGCAAAAAAACACGCTACAATACAAACAAATACCAATAGGAATAAAAGAATCACGTCCAAGTCCAAGTTTGATGCCTGAAGCTGTTCATTTTCAATTGGGAACATTCACCGGCGAAACTGGTTCATTCTGAGGCGAAGCGGAATCAAGATCAATCGGTTGGGCAACAGCATTAAAAGTACCGCTTCTTGTAACGTGCAAGGAGGGCGAACAGGCGTGGAGCCATACTGTAAAGTCCGTAAATTTCTTTATCTTGCACTTCTCTGTCTTGGCGATCAGCACAGAAAGAGCAGTTACAACTTACAACCTGTAAACTAGGGTTTTATGCATTGTACATCATTATTTATTCATAAAACAACGTTAATTACTCAAATGCCATTAGTTAATCAGCTTCCGCGGCGTGTTTGGCCAATTTGAATAGCACAACTGTCAAAATTACTGCACACGCGAGTGTATAAAGCAAAATTTATGCATTTATTTAATGCACAACAACAGTAATATGATCTATTAGCAATTCGATTTCAATTCCCAGGGGCCTAAAATCTTTTATGTTTAAGAATTGCAAAGTGGTTTCTTAGGAGATTCCGAGGTTGCGTTTTTATTGATACACCCTGTATAATATCAAATGCATGAGTTTTGCTTGTTTGTAAACTTGCAAACGAAGTTTCGCTCGAGGCGTTTGCCGCATGTATTTATTGCCGCATCTATATTTTTCGTTTTCAATATTCTGCCGTACTATGTACCTGTGACTCTATTCGAAATTTAGTTGAACAATAACCAATATTTAGCTTTGCTATCTTTTTTAGTATTTGAATAATATGTTTGCATATGGTTATTTGACTTGCAATTGTATGAAACGGCGCCATGTAGGAATTTAGAGGAATTATAAAGTTCATCCGTATTTATTACAATACGAATTCTCGTGGATTTGGGAAATTTTTCATGGATTTCTTTACTAGACTTACTCGTTTTTTTGGAACTTTGAAAGACGTTTTAGTAATTTGGAGGCTGTTTTGTATATGACAATGACTGCAGCCTGCAGTAAAAGTGCACGCGCGAGATCTCAGAATAACAGTATTATTAAGTAAGCCCCCTTGATGAGTGTGTACGCTCTTGGGGCAAACTCATTCTCATCAGAAATATGTTTAAATAAAGTAGCTAATATATTATATGTATTGCTAGAAATTCCCAAAACATTCATTTGTCATTGAAAACGTTAACAACCAACAAGCAGGATGATGTCATATAAATGTAGAGCACGAGCAAAACGTCCATGTTCCTTCGATCAACGGCAGTAAATAAATATTGTATTTAATATATTAAATTAAGGACTGTGTTACTGTTGAAGTTATAACATGAACGTTTTGCCTAGTGGCTAGTGCTTTATATATACGACACCAGCTTGTTGATTTGGTTGTCAACGTTTTCAATGACAAATGAATGTTTTGGGAATTTCTAGCAATACATATAATTTATTAGCTACTTAATAATAGTTATTCTAAGATGTCGCTCGTGCACTTTTAATGTAGGCTGCAGTCATTGTCATATACAAAACAGCCTCTAAATTACTAAAACGTCTTTCAAAGTTCCAAAAAGCGAGTAAGTCTAGTAAAGAAATCCATGAAAAATTTCCCACAAATCCACGAGAATTCGTATTGTATATAATAAATACGGATGAACTTTATAATTCCTCTAAATTCTGACATGCGGCGCCGTTTCTTACAATTGCAAGTCAAATAACCATATGCAAACATATTATTCAAATAATAAAAAAGATAGCAAAGTTAAATATTGGTTATTGTTCAACTAAATTTAGAATAGAGTCACAGGTACATAGTACGGCAGAATATTGAAAACGAAACTGAAATATAGTACATGCGGCAAAAGCCTCGAGCGAAACTTCGTTTGCACGTTTACAAACAAGCAATACTCATGCATTTGATATTCTGTACCGCCCGACATAATATATTTATCCTTGCCCATGAGAAAATTATTTAAAAAAACAACAATACAAGTAAAAAGTAAAGATCGTAACCATCCATCACCCCGAATTTAATGCGAAACACGTGAATTTATAGAGAAACACGTGCGTTGCTTCATAGCTCGTATTCCAGCGTGTTCCGGGTGGGGTTCCGGGTGTTCCGGATGGGGTTCCGGGTGTTCCGGGTAGGGTTCCGGGTGTTCCGGGAGGGGTTCCGGGTGTTCCGGGTAGGGTTCCGGCTTTTACAGACACCCCCTAGATGCAGCTTGGATGCAGAGCTTTGCCTGTAGTTGAAAATATCCAGAAATATCGGTATATCTTAGAAAACATAGACGGGATCTTCATGGATTTTTACGATGGCCGAGAAGGGCCATGACTGTAAACACTCGCCGTTTTTTTTTACCATTACACTCGTCGTTTTTTTCCCTTCAAAATTACACTCGCCGTTTTTTTCTTCAGAATTACACGCGACGTTTTTTTCAGTTATGATGCAATAATTACACGCGACGTTTTTTCAATGCAATATTAATACACGCGACGTTTTTTCAATGCAATATTATGTCTCAATCAATTCCATGGTTGCCCAACACCCCCCCGGGCGTTTGTCGGGCATTCCCAACTGTACTTGTTCCCAGGGTCGGGCATTTGCTTTCTGCAGGTTAGCCCCGGGGTGGGGAATTTGCTCGAGGCTAAAAAGTCGAACTGTTTATCGCTTGTTTCGCCATTTAGCCGTACTTACATGTGCATGCGTATTGCAAATTAATCATGGCGGACATACACACAAAGACTTTCTTCTTGTCCATCCTGTTGATAATACATTGACTTACTTCCAGTGGCGTAGCCAACCCGACAATTTAGTCCCGCTATGCAAATTCAAAGTTATTATCATTATTCATTTCTTTAGAAATGGATTGTTTTCACAGTCAATGAACATGAAAATATTTGCATAGCGGGATTAAATCGTCGGGCTGGCTACGCTACTGCTTATTTCCGCAGTTTGATATTGCTATTTATAATATAGCATTTGTAAATTCTGAACGCTGATTGGCTAAGAGCCGTGTTGATATAACTCCATGTCAACACGGGAAATTT